AATGTTTTGACCCCTAAAACTCTTTAAACCCTCAATACCAAGCCCTAATATAACATAGTTAACCCAAACATAAATTATATAATAAAATTTTTAAACCCTAAAAAATGTATTGACCCCTAAAACTCTTTAAACCTTCAATACTAAACCCTAATACAACATAGTTAATCCAAACATAAATGATATAATAAAATTTTTAATAAAAGTGACATTTTTGTAAAGATTTTGAAAATGTGGCATTTTTGAAAAGTAGCACTCGAAAAGTGGCATTTTTAAAAAAAATTTCAATAAACATTACCTGGACGCGATTGAATTCTTTGGCCTGTTTTAGCCTTTGAATGTTTTCAGGAGTTATCAAATGGCTTGTTTCAACCGTCTCAACGCCCTTAAAAATCCAAAATTTAGGAAAAAAGACATCAATGAGTAATAGTTTTACTAATGAATGGAAGTAAAGACTAGATGAAAAATTAAAGAAGGATCACTTGAAACTAACATGTGCTCTTGCAAAAGCTTCGGCTGCATTAAATGCAAGATATACATGAGGAGTTTTCTCCATGACAAGTCGAGCTAAAGAGATGGGATTAACGACAGTGTTCAAGCCCGAGACAGCTCCACATCTTTTCGTTTTCCCATCCATTATGGAAGCTTCCATTTCAATAGTACATTCCGCAGTTAAGACGGATCCTTTACCCGCATTGAACACCGGTTGGTTCTCAAGTTCACGAACCTTAAAACATACAAAATTAACAAAGTCAACTTTTGTTTTTTTGAAATGGATGTTAAATTCATTTATTCAAACTAAAAAAAAACAGTTTTTACAATGAATGTTATCTTTGAGTTTGAATCTTAGAATATTAGATAACAGAGTAAGAATATAAAGAACAAGACTATTGAAGAGCTTGATTCACAAAGTCAACTTTATAAGACTCGTAAAGAACATAAGAGCAAATAAAATCAATAATCTAAACGACAGTAAGTCAACATTATCAAGCTTCTGAGTATACAGATAACTGATAAAACACAATCTTGGGACTAATTTCATATAACTAGAAAGTGAGATTAGGCACTGTACAACGAGTTCGACGACGTCCAAGGGCGGCTTGCCGGATTTAAAGGCGGAAACACCGACATCGAGACAGTGACGGAGGGCGATCTCACGAGGGATACGTAGCTCGTCCGGGTAATCTAACTGAATATCTCCGCCGCCGCCGTGAAGTGCAATCGCCCACCCTACCATCGCTAGCTACAAATCCTCCCGCCAGATAAGTTTTAAAACATTTGTTTTCTTTCTCTTATAAAATGGAATCATCATGTAAATATTTTATTGAAATATTACACTAGTGTTTGTTTTTTTAAAGAGTCACGACAACTTTTGGTGTGTTATCTAATCATCCACTCTATTGCAATTTCCTTGCAATTACCAGTGTGTTGATCAAATATCTATAATTAAAAGAAAAAATCAGCTAATCTTTCCGCGTCCAAAACACCCTAAACTCATATTGAAATTACAAAAGCAAATGATCGAAATAAATAACAAGATTTGGTAATAAGAAAACTAACAGTATTAACTTTCTGATGTGGAAAGTATTTTTTTCATTAACCAAAAACATTGTACAAAACGGTCTATATATATACAAGGTGAATTAGAGATAAGAGTAAGTTAAGAAAAACTAATCCTCTTAACTAATTCACACTTTAATATGTTAATA